CTTGTGCTGAGCTGCCTCTCCTGCTGCACCGGGTCAAGGCAGAGCCCACCTGGATGAAATCCAGCGTGTCTCCGTGTCGGGCAGCCTGGCAGGGAGTACAGAAAGGTGCTGATGCAGCGCAGAAGGGTTGAGGGAATGGTGCAGGAGGCAGCAGAGACACTGGTAGGGCTTGTGTGCTTGAATATTTTATTACTTTTAATGTATAATCTTAAATTAGGCTTCCTAAGGCTGGTCTGGACACTGCTCCACACAGAGCCTGCACCAGTGCTGGGTCACCCTGCCAGAGCTGAGGGCACAGCGTGGAAATCCATGGCCCTGGGTGGGAGTTGGTGGCCCCGGGGCTCTGGCTGACTCCAGCGGTGGCAGACAGGCTTCAGCAAGTGCTGGATGAGCCTCAGCCGGCTGAAGGTTGGGGTGGAGCAAAGCACGGGGGTGGCACTTCCCAGGCGGGTGCCCCCGGAGCTCGGGGTGTCCCCCGGGAGCAGCGTTGCGTTTCCCTATCCCTGTGTCCGAGCCGAGCACCAGGAGCCTTGGCTTTGGCCTTGGCGAGTGCTGATGGATCCCAAGAGCCTCCCTGGGAGCTCGGCTGGGCCTCTCCAGCGCCGGGCAGGAGCCCTGCCCTCGCTCAGACCTTGGTGCACACCGACACCCCGTCCGCGCCGTCCTGCTCATCCGCGGCCGCGCCGCCGCCGCGGGCCCGGGCCCTGAACCCCGTGAACACCGGGCACACGGGCACCCGCCGGAGCCACCGCGCCCTGCGCACCGCGCCCATCCCGAACGGGAAGTCGTAGCTCCGGAGGCTGGCTCCCGCCGTGCTGTCCGAGTGCGCTCCCGCCTTCCACTGCACCAACCCTCGCTCCTCCTGCGTCCCTGCGGCAGCCGCGACGCCCAGTGTCACCCCCTCGCCCTGCCAGGCCCTCTGACAGCTCCAAACCGACACGAATCTGCCCCCAGCCCTTCCTGCTCCCCCCCTGCCCCGGCCCTGTGTGTTGCAGTTACCCGGGATGGTGTTGTCCAGGACGAAGGCGATGGTCCCCCCGACGAACATCTCCGTGGTGAGCAGCACCGTCAGGATCTGGTCCAGCTCGGGGACACCTGTGAGAGCGAGAGATGGAGCCGGGCTGTGCTGTCATGAGCTTATTAATCAGTGCTTCCCTGGGGTGGGAGACCACCTGGGAAGTCCCCCCTCCTCTCTCCCTAAATACCCCAAATTAGGGCTTTTCGTGGCTGAGGGTACCTGTGTTAATGGCCCCGGGGTTAGAATCCAGGTAGTTTGGCAGCGTGAGCCCGAAAAACATGGCAAAGCCCAGCACGAAGAGGTTTCGGGAGGAATTCATGTCGACGAACTGCAGGTTGGAGAGGCCGACGGCCGTGATCATTCCTGCCGGCAGAGACGCGGCGATGCAGGCGGAGGTGCCCGCGGGAGCCGGGCACAGGGAGGGGCTGCCCCAGCAGGGGTGCAAGGAGGCGGTCACGGTCCCACCCAAAACTGCCCTGCATCCCTTGGGCTCACCAGCCCCAAAATCTGCGGGGACATGGCCCAGGGCTGCTGAGAGCAGCGCTCCGGGTTTGGGTGCGGCTGCGCCGCAGTTACCGAATAAGGTGCAGAACATCCCGCCGAGGACGGGGTCGGGCAGGGAGGCGAAGAGCGCCGTGAACTTGCCGACCGTCCCCAACACGAGCATGATCCCGGCCCCGTACTGGATCACCCTCCTGCTCCCCACCTGCACAGAGACAGCGGCAGGCGGTGACGGTGCCCGCGCCCCCCGGCCGAGCCGGGATTCCTCCCCAGCTCCGGTACCTTGGTCATGCCCAGGACGCCGATGTTGGGGCTGGAGGAGGTGGAGCCGTTGCCGGTTCCCAGCAGCCCCGCGATGATGCAGGAGATGCCCTCGGTGAAAATGCCCCTGAGGAACAACGCGGTCGGGCTGGTCCCCATCCCACTCTCCTGCGGCGTCCCTGACCGGTCTCCAGGGATGCCACGGTGTGAGCAGGGTACCGTGGAGGGGCAATAGGTGTCTGTACCTGTTAATGGCATGCACGGGGGGCGGGGGGGCCCCTGCCAGCCGGGCACAGGAGTAGTAGTCCCCAATGGACTCGATGATGCCTGCCAGCGTGGCACTGAACATGCCCAGCACGGCCGCCGAGGTCACTGTGGGCAGACCCCACTGGCCTGCCCGGGATCATAGCAGGAGGTCAGGGTTGGGGGCCACCTCAGGCCCCCCTGGTACTCACCACTTCGGGGCCCCCCACGGGTGTTCCCCAGCCCCAGTGATGCTGCACCAGCTCCCCACATCCCCCAGGGCAAAGGGGTATCAGGAGGTCCAGCCCCCTGGGGCTGCCAGGCACTCACAGGGGTAGGGAACCCGGAACCAGGGGGCCACTGACAGGATCTCCCCCCGGGCATCCGTCCTGGCCTTGTACCCATATTCCTCGGGCTCGCTGGGGAAGACACCAGTGCGGGTCAGCACGTAACAGAACAGCCACACCACCATGATAGCCAGGATGATCTGCAGGGCAGAGACCAGGGAAGCATCCACAGTGCTTACAAACCCATGCCTGGAAAAGGAGGGATTTGTGGGCACTCCAGGATGCTCCCAGCCAGTCCCTACCGGGAACATCTTGAAGATCTGGAAGCGAAACAGGACGAAGCCGCGGCCCCGGCGGTAGCCGGGCAGGCAGATGGCAACCTGCCGCAGGTACTGGGCAAACAGCACGATCAGCAGGATGGTCCTGGGGGAAGAAAAGCACAGGGTCCCTCGTGCCCCTGGCGTCCTCCTGGCTGCATTGGACAACCCTACCCCCCTGTCCCCCCGTCCCTGTGCCGTACATCACAGCGATGCCCCAGTGGGAGCCGGCGCGCTCGCCGGCCGCCTGGAACACGGACAGTCCGATGAGGGACACGGTGGGGGTGACGGTCAGCGGCCCGATGTAGCTGAGCAGCGCCCCGGGGAGCCCCAGCAGCCCGATGACCACCTCCACCAGGCTGGACACCATGATGGCCCCCTGGATCTGCAGGGCATGGAGAGGTGGAGGGAGGGGGGTCAGCGGCCTGCCAGGGGTTTTGGGGTCCCCCGGCGGTGGTGGCAGGATGTACCTCTCGCATGCGGGGCTGCCAGATGTGGGAGGTGTTGAGCGGCAGTGACCAGTTGCCATAGATCTGCTCTGGGGGGGGAGGGGGGTGAAGTGGTCCCGGGGGGGGCAGGGAGCAGCTGGACACCCCCCTGCACCCCCTCTGCCCTCACCTTCAGGAGGGCATCGCCACTTCTCCAGGGCCAGGATGGACTTGGCAGGGATGAGGAAGGCCAGCGCGCTCGCCTGGAAGAGGGGCAGCCTGGGGGGACGAGAGGGGATCCTGTGCCCATGGCCCAGGGGTGGGCAGGACCTGGGGGTGGGCAGGGGGTCCCACCGGGGCCACGGCTCTACCTGATGCCCACGGTGGTCTGGATGAGGGTGGTGATGCCCACACAGGTGAAGATGGTGCCGATGAGGTAGCTGACGGTGAGCTGGTCCTTGCCCACGCACATGCTCTCGGCCAGCAGGAACGGGATGGCGACAGTGCCACTGAAGCAGGTCAGGTAGTGCTGGGGGGCAAGGGGGGCTCAGCAGGGTTGGGGGGGCCATGGGTGCCCCATGGCACAGGGAGCAGGGGCTTGGGATCTGCCAGTGGGGCTCCCCCCTTTCCAGGCTGTACCTGGAAGCCGAGCAGGATGCAGAGGTACCAGGGGGGCACGTCCTCAATCTTGTAGAGCATGTCCACCTCCGGCTGGGGGGGCCTGGTGCCCACCCTCGGGTCCTGCTGTGTGGGGGCACAGCTCAGTCCTGGCTCACCCTGGGGACTGGGGGCAGGGAGTGGCACCCCACACTGTCCCCATAGGTGGCACAGGCTGCCCCGTGGGAGCCCCTGTGCCCTCAGGGATGGTGAGGGGTCCTGGCCGGCTGGTCTGCATCCCATGGTGTGTTACAGATGGATTTGGGGTGCTGTGCTGCCCACGGGGTGCCCCAGTACTCACCCTGCCCTCCGCAGGCGGCTCCTTCCCGGGGGTCTGTGGGGAGCCAGCAGGAGCAGGAGCCAGAGCCAAGTTCCCATTCTGGCAGTGAGGGTGAGGTGGGGGCTGGGTCAGTGTGGGCCTGGGTGTCCCATGGGAACGGGGCTGGCCTCTGCCCTGGGGATGTGGGGGGACACCAGGCCATGGCTTAGCCTGTGTGTCTGCTCAGTCCCACCCGGCACCACCTCTGACCCTCAAAAGGGGTCTAGGCTCCAAAACCCACTGGTCCCTCTGTGATGGTTTGTCCTGGAAAGTGTGGAGGGGGGTTCCCGCTGGCCCTAGGGTGCCTAGACCACCCTGCAGGTGCTGGGAAAGCTGGCACAAACCAGTCCCAGCCTCAGCATCTCTGCATGTCCCGTTGGTCCCAGGATTCCCCTCAGTTCCCAGGCTCATCCCGCCCTTTGCCAGCCCCAGCAGGGCATCCTGACCCTGCGCTGGCCATCGCGTGAGTCAATACCCCTGGTCACCACCTCCCTCCCCGCCGCCCCGGGACGTGACGAAGGGATGGGGATGGGGACAGGGATGAAGGCTGCGTTCACCTGGGGCTTAGCCAGGTCCCCCGAGCGGGTCTCCATCCTCCGGCGACGCGTCCCCGGCGGCGATGTCACCGCTCGGGGGTTTTATGGCCGTGGGAAGGACTTTAGTCACCTCCCGGGCGGTGGCCGTGGCAGGGGCGGCGGGCGGGAGGGCGGCCATTGGCTGCGGGTTGTGAAACCAGGGAGCGCAGCCCCGGGACGGGTCAGCCATTAACTGCTTTAATTGGGGCTGCACCCGCCGGGAGCAGCGCGTGGTGAAACATTAGAGCCGGTGGGTTACAGAGTAATTCCCGGCTCGCCGGGGTCCGGCCGGGCGGGACAGCGGCTGCTGCCGCATCTGCCCCGGGCTGCGCGTTGAGAGACAGCGGCGACAGCGGCGACAGCGGCGACAGGTGACACCGGGAGGGCTCCCACCGCCCGGCACGTGTCGGCTCCCGCCGGGGACGAAGTCGGCTCCGAAGGTCGCCGGGGCATTAAGCATTAACCGCGCCGGGGCTACAGCTCGTTCTGCGGCGCCTTGCGGGGGGCGGGCGCCCCGGCCTTGCCGCCGCCGCAGGGCCCCTTGTCCCCGTGGCACAGCAGCTCCCGCAGCGCCGCCGGGCCCCGCCGGTGGCTCTCGTAGATCTGCGCCTCCCCCTGCTCGCCCACGTAGCCGAGGCACATCTTGGAGAGCCTGCGAGGAGCCGGGGTGGTCACGCTGCATCCCCCGCCCTGCTGGGGGGACAGTGCCCGGACCCCCCTGCATTGCCAAACTCGCACTTACCTGCCCGGCCACGGTCCCCCCGACACCATCACGCTCACGGGCTCCCGACTGGGCAGCCCCGGCCCCGCCAGGCGCTTCTGCCCGTCCAGCTCCTGCACCCCATAACTGCGGGGAGAGGGGGGGCGGGAGAAAATAGGGTCCCTGGGAACACCCCTGTCCCTGGGGACACCTTGATCCTGGGGGATACCCTGATCCCTGGGGCACCCCAATCTCTGGGGACACCCCTATCACTGGGGACACCCTGGTCCCTGGGGCACCCCCATCCTTGTGGACACTCTGATCCCTGGGGAACCCCCATCCCTGAGGACACCCCCATCCTTGGTGACACCCTGATTCCCAGGGATACCCCTATCCTTGTGGACATATCTATCTATGTCGGGGACATCCCCATCCTGGGGGACACCCTAATCCCTGGGAACACTCCTGTTCCTCGGGACAACCTGATCCCTGGGGGTACCCTGGTCCCTGGGGCAACCTTATCACTGGGGACTCTGATCCCTGGGGATACCCTGGTCCCTGGGGCAACCTTATCACTGGGGACTCTGATCCCTGGGGATACCCTGGTCCCTGGGGCAACCTT